GTGGGGCTTACTGTACCACACCAGCTTCAGTCTGAGCTGGTTTACCTGTGCGCAGGTAGAGTCTGTGCTCATGTTGTGTTACAGGTGATGTTCTCGCTCACCTGTATGGGGCTCAGGTGTTCCGGTGGAGTAACAACACCTGAGTGGGAGTAGTGACACCTGAGCATACGAACAACTGTAGTACTACACACAGGAAAATACACAATATAGATACATGTATGTATGTGATACAGGGTACCGACACCAGTACTGTGTGTGCGTGTGTGTGTGTGCGTGTGTGTGTGTGCGTGTGTGTGTGTGGTTTAATGATATATGGCATTCTTTAGTCCACATGTCGTCGTGAGCATTTTTATTTGTAAAGCAGTGATTACGTGATTGTCTACAACTGTGTAACTTACCTTGTTACTATGTGTGCTAAATGCATTCTTAATCCCTTGCTGTTGATTGGCTTGTAGACTAACCTGCAGACTCTAACCTTTATACCCACTTCCTGCTCCCTGACCCTGTCCCACAGAGGTGGCCACTCTCAACCCCTCAGTCTCTAGTGCCTTGCTTCCAGGTAACACACAGCTCAGTTGGAAGTTTTATGTTATCTGCTGTTTGTCTCTGTCCTGTTTTTAATGTGTTATGTTTTTTTAAACTAGTGTCTCTTTGTCTTACTATTTGCATGAACCCTTTATGATGAGAGTGTCATGTGTCTGTGCTGAGAGCAGACTCTCTGCACTGCTCCCAATGAGTCGTTTGTTTTAAATGAAAAAAGTCTTTATACAACACAAGTGTCTACAAATGCATGCATGTTTTTGTGTGTCTGACACAAGCAAAGCCGAGTCTTGTCTTTCTTCAGCCCGTCCAGACCCCCCCATGGATCTGGATTTGTCAGACCCAGCAGCACGCAGCGTTCGCCTCACCTGGATCCCTGGAAAAGACCACAGGAGCCCCATCACAGGTAAGTAGGCACACATCAACCTGGATCCTGACAGGATTGTGTTATTTTCTCAAAAATGGACTAAACTGAGCCTGTTGGGGATCAGTGTAAGCAAAAGTAGCCTAGTTAGTTTCAGGTCAGATTCTGAATGGATGCTAAACTCAAAATCCTATTACTGAAGAATTTGGTGTAATCCATGTGGATACTGAAATCTGTATTTATGGAAAAGGTTGTAAAATGTAACTGGATCTTTGAACAAGCCGAAGTGGACAAATGGACGGGACATGGCGTGCTTCCAGAACACATGGACTCACAGACCTGCAGCAGGTTTGGTTTTTCTCATTAGTTCTGTCTCTCCTCAGAGTTCTTGGTCCAGTTTGAAGAGGACCGCTGGGAGCCGGGTAGGTGGCAGAACTTGTCATCTTACCCCGGAGACCTCAACTCTGTCATCCTGCAGCTCGCTCCCTTTGTCAACTACCAGTTCAGGGTCATCGCCATCAACTCAGTAGGTCAGAGTGATCCCAGCCGCCCCTCGCCCCGCTACAAGACAACTGGAGCTGGTAAGGAGCATCGCATGCAATCATCTGACCTCTGATGTTTCAGTTGGTCAGTCTTATTAGTTTACATGGACTCAAAAGCTACCATGTGTAACGTGGTGTTTTGGAAACGCATGTTCACTAAAGGTTTACAGTTACAGTTGAATAAGTGTGAAGCTTTGCTGACTCTGTTTAATGTCAGTGCGCTCTGTTGTGTTGAAACAAGCACCAGATGCCATTCCCAAAGGCCTGCGGGGTTGGGGGTCCAGAAAGGACAATATGGAGATCACCTGGGAGGTAAGATCTCGTATGGGAATGACTCAGTAAGACAGTGTAGTCTGCACTGAGAACATGTTAACAGTATAAGGAAACTGAGGGTCACCTGAATGCAGATGTGTAATCAGGTGACCATGACAAACGGTGTAGGCTGGTGGTTAGCACTGTTAGCTGCAAGCACAAAGTCCTGTGTGCAGAGGTGCAGCTAGGACGTTTTGTGTGGTGGCACATGTTCCCCACAGTGTCAAATAGGATCTTTATGCATTTTGTTACTAGCAGAATGAAAAAGGCCAAAGATAACAGTATGCCCGACATAAAACAGTATTTTTGCTTCAACAAGTTGATATTAGCTGAAAACGTGGCAAGTCTTAGCGTGATGTGCGTCTACTTCACAACTGGACAAAAGAGTAAAAGTAGCAGGCCCAAAACATGATTTACAACAGAAACACGATTTGAATGTAGCATTGCGCTGACACAGGACCAAACAGATGGACCTTATGTTGATCAATCTAGGATTTGCATAAGCCTCATTAGAATGGTCTCAGTGTAAGAGCTCAGTTTTTCAGTACAACAATGATCCTAAACACAGGGAACTTTGATGCTCAGCAGAAAAGCACTATAGAAGAACCATTTACAGCCAATGTGTGGACCTGGATAGAAAGAGATCCACAGTGGAACACCTTCAGTCATACATGTGCCAGAACCTGGACCTCAACATTATTGAATTTGTATGGGATCATCTTGACAGAGAATCAAACTGAAGGGCGCTAACACCCAAAGAGCTTTGCAGTGTCCTTCAAGAAGCTAAAGAAAGCTTGCCTGAGAGAGCTGAACAGTAAAGGAGGTCATAACAAATATTGTCTTTGCAGCTTGTTAAACTTGCACAAACCAGTCTTAATTCTGTCAGCAAATCTGGATTTAGTTTCAGTCTTTTTAGTTTAAGTCATAATTAGCATCTAACTTGTTTTAGGCGACTAAATATTATAAGACTGTCGTTGACTTAATCTGAAGTGAGTTCAGTTAACTAAAAGTTCGTCGTGTTTTTGCCGGGGTGCCGTATAGTTTACAAAATGTTGTGTTTTCCTTCACGTCAAATATGGGATGAGTCTTCTCTCAGCTTGTGAGATCAATTCTTCTGCCCAAGGAGATCAACAGTCGTCCCGCTCGCTACACAAGCTGATCAATTCTGATTGGGTCTAATCTCTCCTGTCATCATTTTATTGGTCAACAAAAGTGTCAAAACATTTCATCATAATCTTCTTTTTATTAACAACAATGATTAGCCAACAAACTTAACACTGGTCCAAACTCTGTCTTTTTGCCTTATTTAATCATTTGCATGGATGTTCCACAGTTTCAAAATGAATCTGTCTGCTCAACTTTCTCACATTTCGTTGCATCAAGATAAAACGTTCCCCATAAAACGTTGCTTCATCTAACAGCGTTCATTTTTGTTGACCAAAAACAAGATGATAAATAAATCAAAAATAATGCACAGAAATATGATGAAATGTATCAACATGTAAAATAAACACGACATGTTGTGGAATAAAGGCGGGATGAGCTTGGAAGTGTCCAATCAGAATTCATCCCCTTGTACAGTAAGGTTAGATCAAAACTTCCAATGTCTAAGTAAATGTATATAACCACCAAACAGTTATAACATGTAATTATCATTTGATAAGTATAACTCATCGTTTGTCCAATATGTGTAAATTCAGGCTCATCTCTCCGTTGACTTTTCTAGCCTCTCCTCGATCTGGAAAGAAATGGTCCAAACCTGCACTACGTTGTGTGGTGGAGACGAAAAGACGCTGAAGAGGAGTGGAATAACGTGACCACAGTGGGGACGAAACATGTGGTCCACAATACAGAAATCTATGTGCCTTATGAGATCAAAATCCAGGCCAGGAATGAGTTCGGAGCAGGACCAGAGTCTAACCTGGTCATTGGATACTCTGGAGAAGACAGTAAGTAAATCCCGAAGCAGCTTTTCATTTATGAGAGCAACCCATGTGGAGGCTGAGGAGAAGTGAAAACCAAACCGAGAATTTGTTTTGAAAATGCTGCTGACTGTTCACACATATTGTGTCCACTTGGATGTGTTCAGAGCCCACTGATGCTCCCACTGACCTGCGGGTATCAAAGGTTGACAGCACCAAAGCTATCCTCCACTGGACCCCTGTGGACCTGAACTCTGTCCAGGGAGAGTTCAAGGAGTATAGAGTAAGACTGCCTTTGGTTTTTCTAATGAAACTGCAGAGTTGGTACATTACACATCGTTTCACGTCCTCATTTTAGGTTTGACAGCGTTTTAGTAGGTAAAGGTGACGCTTAGTCACGAATTGAGCTGTGGTTTGGGGAAGGCCTTGAAGGGGACTGGCGACGGCAGCCTGGCAGATCCCCGTGTACTAATTAGAAGTGAAGAAGTTAAAGAAGGGAGGGTGGGGCACGTAAACAAGAACGACGGCTTGCAGAACTGGGAGAACCCATATAGATGAGAACCGGAAGGAGCGTGTTTGGAGGCGTGGTCCCGCTCCTGTTATTCCGATACACAATCCAATTATCTTTCATGATCAATTTTGGATAATTTCTCTTGTGTAATGTCCTCCAATCTCCTGTACGTCTTGCCTATTAACACCTTTCTTCCCATCCTGCTTCCCAGTTATACTACTGGCGTGAGTCTAGTCAGGTTCCAGGTCTGGTGGTCAGTAAGGAGAAAAAGGTCAAAGGTTTCTTTACCACTATGGTCAAACCATCTGGCATGCTCAGTGACCTGGCGCCCTACTCGAACTACAAGATGTTCATGGTTGTGGCCAACAATCGCTTTGAGAGTCAACCCAGCAACACTGTGGCATTTACCACCAAAGAAGGAGGTGAGGATGCTGTCCACCCAGCCTAAAAATAACACGTTTATACAGGGGAAGTAATTCTTTGATCGTGTGCTGAATCTGTAAGGTCATCTTTCAAATAAATGAACAGATTTGACGGGACATGGTCCCATCCATTGGCCCCTCAGTGTACCCATAAAAACACCACTGTGTTTGGCTTGGTGTTGTTTTAGATGTTCACTGGTTGACTCCAGACGGGCTCGTACATGTGTCTTCTTGAGCACATGAGGGACCTGCTGGGTGTTCCAAGAAAACCCATTAATGCCATAATGGGTTGAAGTTCAGTTCATGTTCTGCTGTTCAGTATTGAATAGCAGAAATTTGGCTTTCTTGTCAGATGTCATTTTTGGGACAAAAACAAGACAGTGTCTGACAGCACAACGATAGAGTGGTAATAAGTGTGTAATAAGAAACAAATAAGGCAGAAAATAGAGCTTTATGATGGGAAACTGCTCTCAAAGCACACCTAGAGACAGAGCTGTGCAGGAAGTCCAATATTTTCATGGTGGAAGCAAGACAGCAAAGGGAAGCTTTGCTTTTTTAGCTCTTTGGTGGTTGTTGAAATGGTTCTGTGAGCTTTTAGCTGAGATTGTTGACGTGTCTGTGGACACCACATGTCTATATTTAAGTAACAAATCTGGCAGTACATCCTGGTGAAACAGATGTTCTCCCTCTCATCCCTGGTATTGGAGGCATTGGGGTTCAACAGGTTAACTGTTCATTGTTTAATGACTGTGAGCAGTATGAACGGCCATAATGGAGGTTTTCATCAGTAAAACAGTTCAAAGTTCAAAGTTTGAGCTTGTTTGTGGTTCAGAATCATAAACGGCTTCAAGCCTGTGAGGCTCACTCAGACACTGAGCCATGGCTCTGTGCCACATGCACACATTTCTGCATCTCTGCATTCAAACACACTTTATATACACTTCATGTTCTGTCACTGTCAATACTGAACTGCACATCGAGTCTGTAAATGATCTCGTATGTTTGGCACTCCGGTTTTACGGTGTAGTGTGGTACCAATGGTGTTCTTGGTGATTGTGGTTCAATCTGTCCTCAAATTCAGATTTAGAGCATTTGATAGTCAGTTTATATTTCTTCTCTTTCCGAACAGTCACACCAACAGCTTCTCACTGATGGTCTTGGAGCCCATCCCACTCGTGTGTAGGTCTAAAACCTTGCACCCTGCGTCCTTTGACAGCTTTTTGGTCTTTCTCTGTGGTGGAGAGGCTGCAATAAAAGAAATTCATTCTGTGGACAGTTGTGCTTCTTACAGATAACAAGCTCAGATGAGGAATTTCTTTGATTGAGTAAATCATAATCTGGCCACAAGCAATCAGAATCCTGGCAGGATTGTTGGGGATCCGATTCTTATTACACTCAGTGACATGGTCGATCGTCTCTCTCCATTAAAATGAAACTACCATCAAAATTAGAGACTTTGTTTCTTTGAAAGTAAGCAAACATACAAATTCAACACTGGATCAAATAATTACTTCACCATTGCATGTGATGTAGAGGTATCATATTATTGTGACCCAGAGATCGCTCTCTGATAGTCTTATATGTCATTTTTATGAAGACAATTTTGTGTAGACTGAAAAAGTTAAAGGCCGGAGCATCAGGTGGAGCAGAAAGGAATAAAAAAGTAGTTGTCAACGTTGCATACCTTACAATGGCCCAGCACACTGAGCTGGTACGAACTCCCCTTGTGTCAGAACTTGAACATTGTGTTCCATGATGCTGACTAAGCATGTAAGCTTTAAGACACACAACACACACTGCAGTTTTCTTGTTGCAGTCCAAACATGTGTCTAAACTGCATGTAGCTACTATATTGCACACTGTTTTTCTCTTTTGTTGTGATTGTAGTTCCAGACGCTCCAAGGTTCTTCAAAATTAATCGCAGAAGTTTGGACACGATCCACTTGGAATGGGCGAAACCTCTGGAGCCCAATGGCATCCTGACTGGATACCAGCTCAAGTACCAAACAGGTGAACTCATCTTATTTGTCAAAGTCATGTGCGATATGTAAAATATGGCTGTATTGTCACTCTGTCATTGCCTAAACCAGCAGGCGTGGACTCCTCACTCTGTTTATCACTTAATTTAAACCTTAGTGAACGTTTTCCTAACCAGTTGGAGGTTTTGAGTTTTAAATCTTGTTCAATACATTGTCCTGTCCATTCTGTAAATGATGGGCCCATTTAGAGTCAAGCTAGAAAACTCGCTATGATTCAGAATAATTTCATCTCATGAAACAGCAGCTTGCCAAGTTTGTCATCTTTTATTATCTGAGTTAAAAACACACCCAAGATGTCCAAAATGCCAACGCTTTTATTGATGGTTGAAATCATCATCAGCTGCTCAGCTCTTGAATGTAGACTTGTGAGTTTTTACAGGCCTTTAACGTTTAGTGCTTTGCTTTGTAGTGTTAGTATTGGGACCACATAGGTCTACAAGAGAGATGCATTAAGGGAGCAGTGTGATTGGTCACTTGGGCTGAAATTGTAACATGTTACCAGTTTGTCAATAAAGGTTGAAAGTTAGGCCTCTGTCTGCAGAAAGCACAACTGTGCTGAACCAACGTCCAATCAGGATGCACCTCTGACAAATCAGCTTTATTGACCATTATGGTAATGAGGTAGAAATAGTGATATTCAAGTGTTCTCATTCTGGAACAGCACCAGTGTGACTGTACAGGAAGAAATTCATGAAACTAATACTGCTGATGATGATTGCAGCGTCCAAATGATCAACGAAGCTGAATGACAATGTGTCTGTGTGTGTGTGTGTGTGTGTGTGTGCGTGTGTGTGTGTGTGTGTGTGTGTGTGTAGTCAACGGTTCCAAGGTGGGTCCTTTTCAGCTGGAGACGTTCTTTCCTAATGTGACGGAGTTTTTCCTTCGCGTGCCGGACCGTTCCTCCCGCTACAAGTTCTTCCTGTCAGCACTGACTCAGGTGGGAAAGGGGGAGGACTATGCTGAGGAGTCTCCACACTTCACTAATGAAGGTGAGGCTGTGATGTGCTTATGAAACACTATGCATTTGTTTGCCTAAGGAAGGAAATTCAGAATTCACTAAATATATGAGAATAATTACTGTAACACATCATTGATGTCACAGTTCAGAGTTTACAGAACAATTACTGACAAAGAAAAGCGAGAGCATGTGTGCCTGACTGTACTCGTGTTTGTACGAGCTCTTTCATAACTGGACTGTTCAGTGTTAATGGTTCAAAAGCCCAGAAAACCTTTAACTTCAGTCCTGATAGCTGTGGATATTTTCATGGCTGCGACAGAACTCTGAGGGACTGTAGTGACGTCTCTGTGTCTCTGTACTCCCCCACAGTGGATTTACACTAACACAAACCAGATTTGACTGAGGCTTTAACAAAAATATTTTATTAACTGTTTAGGAATCGCAGACATTTTTAATTAACTAGTAACTACCAAAGATATGTGAATGCACAGCTCAGAATGGTTCCCAACAAATCTGCTTATTCCTCTAGTGT